TCTCTTTTACAACTGTATTATGGAAGTCTGAGTTCTAACATAATTTGTTTTATAAACAGTAAATTGAATGCTTTTCTTTAGTTAAGCAGGTATGAACTTGTACAGTATGTAGACAAGGTGGCACATGCCTATTTTTAATAATCTTGAAGTAAGAAGACATTATCTTACAATAAGGGTGACTCAACTAGAAATGTAGTTAAGATCAGGCTAATACAAAACATCCTAAAAAAATTCCATTAGGACTACTGCCCTCGGGGTAGTTATCTTTGAACTCTTGTTCCAACATGTAAACTTCAAATGGTGTTTCTCAGTAGATGTTTGACTCTCTCTCCTCCTTGTTTTTCTTTTCTTAAGGGCCCCTCTTCTGCAACAACTTTTTTACAAAGTGTTCACTTGCAGATTTGGCTCAATAAGTATCAGCTGATATAGATACAAATATGTTTTGCAAGTGCCAAGAAACATCATAGTGCCTTCAAACTGTTCATGACTCTTATATACTGTGTTTTGTGTTATATGAAGAACCTGTGTGACAATTAAAAAAATTAAAAATTGACATAAGCCTTGCTTATCAAAGAACAGATATCTTACTCTAGGTAGTCTGCATTTTCATGGGCACAGTCATCCAGTGGCTGTTCTCTGCTGTGGGGCAAAGGAAAAGACTGGCAGATGGAGAGGTACTCCTCAGAATGGTTATTCTCAGGTGAGAACAACCCTCTTGTGTATCTTCCACCACAAAATCATCCTCTCTTCCTTGTATACTAATATTGGTATGGGCAGTGTCAAGTTTGCATTTTGTTTTTTGTGGCTATGGAGAAATATGGAATGGGTAAACAAAAACTTTAGATATTTTTGGTTACCTATGTTATACCAATAACAATTTCAAATCATTCTGTTGAGCATGAATGAACTAAATGCTTGGCAGTAGTTATTTCATTTTTCTTGTGTTTACAGTGGTAGAAACATCTCTGTTATGAGATACTAGAAAAGGCAGAGAGAACTATGCAGAATTTCCAGATCAGTCAAACCATTGCTGTGTAGAAGTGAAAATGGAATAAATTAGTTTAAATAAAATGGATAAATTAGTTTACTCTTTTGAATTCACTGCAAACTTCAAAAGTATTTTGATGAATAAGATGTGCTTCCAAAATAGTAGAAATTGTAATGACAAACCAAGAATGGCATGGTATGAACATATGTTTACAGAAACAAGTGTATGTATACACACAGATATGCAATTAAGAGAAAAAAATCTATGTCTGTAGGCTAAAACCTAGTTGCATTTCATATGCATTTTTATTCTTATGTTATTAATTCCGTAGGATATGATATTTATCATCTTTATTCAAACAAAGTATTATTTTAATTGCTGCTTGTTTGTGGCATGCTTTTCAGGGTAAACTTCTAAGTCATTCATTAGAGTACACTTAGTACATTATCTAAGGTAGTTCCGTAAACATGCAGACATTTTAATTTATAATTTTGGGTGAGATCCTAGGATAAAGACTGTAACAGGTGTTACTGAATAATAATGTGATCTAAAGCTTTCAGGATATCGAAGAAGAGCACAGAAAAATTGAAAATTAAGTTTTCTGCGGGAGAGGGAGGGAGGTTTAATGGAACAAATTCTGAAATCCTGTATCAAATTTATCTTTAATGAAGAAAATTCCTACTCCTTTCCTGATGGAGGAATTTAATGTTTAAACCTAACAGAATTTGGCACATAAAGTTTTAACTATTTTTAATTTTATGCAAAAAATATGCTGTGAGTGGATGTTAAATGTGGTGCGGTATGGGGAGGGTTACTCCATAGTCAGGTACAGCTGGAAAGAAGCCGAGAAGAAATGGGAGACGTGCATTAGGAAGAGGAGGTTTCCAGTGAAATAATAAGTTTAAAGTAACTAGAGGAGGGCAAAGGAAGAGAGAGGTTTTGATAGGCAATGCAATAGCAAGAGGAAAAAAAATGTTGGGCAGATGAAAAAGAAGCTATGACTTGGAAGTACAGAAGTAAAGTAGAACAGTGGTGTGCGGTGGGAGGACAAGAGGCAGCAAGGCAAAAACTGAACCAAGGGAAGTTCCAACTCAATAAAAACTCTTTCACCATGAGGACAATCAAGCAGTGAACAGGTTGCCTGGAGAGACTGTGCAGTGTTCATCCTCAAAGGCTTTCAAGTGCCAGGGGGTAAAGGGCTGAGCGACCAGGCCTGACCTCATGGGTGATCCTGCTTTGAGCAGGAGTTTGGACTACAGACCTCCTGAGGTCCCTTCCAGCCTGAATTACCCAGCAGTCCGTTGAAAAACAAAATTTTGTTAGCTGAGTCTTGAAAGTCTTTGTGATACGGCCATGACATGGCTTTCCAGAATGACCAGAATTCTGAAAATCAGGAATAAAATGCTGCATGTGGTGAGCAGAACTCATGAAATCTGTGGAGTTACAAGCCAGTGCTCCAGCTGCACACACTGGGTTCCAGTGTGATTACACCGAGTGACAGAGAGCTTCATCAGTTTACCAGAGGTGGGACACAGGCAGTCTTGGGGAGGAAGGCTCCACTCAGCCTTCCTTCCCACAGTACAGCAAAGGTGCACACCATCTAAACTAATGTATAGATCTTTTTGGCCACTTGAAACAGTCGGGATTTAAATGGAAATTGAGTTTTAAACCTGAACTAGACAAGAACTGTTGCTTTGCTATGATGATTTTGTAAACGATGATTTCCTGACTTCCTATTCATTTTTCTCAATCATTTAAAAGCATGCAGCATCTTTTCAATGTGTGTATTATCATTACTTTAATTTTTTCATTTATTATTAGACTTTCCCCTTATAACATTACATTCCTCTTCCAGATTAAAAATACATTTTTTTCACACTTCATTCAGCTTTACTTTCTTCTTTATTAAATTCAACCTGCAAATCTCAGTTGCTTTTTTTCGCAGTTGTCTCTCCTTTCTCCTTTACATTACAGGAAGTTAGAGTTTTCAGGGGTCTGGGGAGAGGAGCAAGATGGGCTTTTATAGTTGCAGTGTTTGAGCAGCCTCTTGTGAGGTTACTTTTGACACTTGCTGTTGATAACTGACTTCTTTTAAAAAAGAACTGTCTGAACGTAAGTTATGGTGCCTTTTCTACAGCCTTGTCCCACATGTGGTTTATTGTAATAGTTCCAATCTGACCTTCTTCATTAAATTACTTAGTTCAATAGAATCTGAGTTCTTGAAATTTGATATGCCAGTCTGCTTTATTATGTACATCTATCTTGTATCTGCATTCTGTGTACAGTACTAAATTCAAGTGGCTCTTGCTCTGATTTCAATCTACCCATGGGTTTCTTTCTGCTGATAAGAAATTAATTCAATATGGTTTCCCACTGACCCATTTTTTAGACTGTAAAGTTATCTAGTATTAGTAGAAGCCAACTTTGATGCATGTTCAGTATATTTTTTTGCCCAGTGAATCTATGGGAAGATAATTTCTCCCACAGTTGTGGTATCCTGTGATTTCCAGCCCTGTGAGAACTGGCCATGCATTTTTTTAATTCTCGCTTTCATCTGGTTGTGATGGTTAATAAGCATATGTTTATTGTTCTCTCTCTTTATTCCCCCCCCCTCCCCATTCTTGCTAACTTAATACAAAGCCAGTTGCTACCACTATTTTTGTTGTCACATTATAAATATTGGACATAATAAATGCCTGTGATTCATAAAATCATTGTAATTATCCTTTGGGATCCCCAGTGGTAAGTTCACTTTTCCTGCTAACAAAAATTTGTTTAAAAATCATAAGCAACTTTCTGATAATTTTAACTCTGCAGAAGCTTTAAAATTAATTTTCAGGTCTGTATGTCTATTTTTGTAAAGAAGTCTTTGAGTTTACAAAAGAAAGTGAGATGTTTACTTAAGTAATGCATCTGATTGAACTTATTGTGTGGTATATAATTATAAAAATAACTTTCCACATGCAGCAAATATATATCTTTATATACAGACTTGTTTGAAGAGCAGTTAGGCCATATTTTGATAGTTTCTTTTATGTCTTTCACTACTAATTTATTTTGTGGTGGTGTTCGATGTATTTCTGTTCCTAAAGTTTCAAGGCTTTAAACATAATTAGACTTTGCATTGATGAAATTTCTAGCTGCTTATGGAATGGCTACCCCAAAGACATTGGAAATCTTATGTTTTATTTTGCATATTAATTCATATCTAAAGGACAAAACTCTAAATTATAAGTGAGAGTTCCAGTCTTGAAATATTTTGAATTGTTTGTTTAAAGAAAGGGAAACGCCCACTGAATCTTGAAATTGTAGTCACTAACAAGAGAAAACACTGATTTTCTTAAATATTTGCTTTGTGGAGAAGATCAGGCAATAATTTGACAAAATATTACATACCACCACCACCAGTTAAAAGATCTAGGAAGCTCTCCATGCCAAGATCTTGGTCACTGATTCTGCAACTTTTTTGATATTGAGGTGAACAGTTATATCTGCTGTCTCCATGAACAATATCTTCAATAAATTTATTTAGGGGGTGTCTATTATGTAGTACACATTGTTGAGGATTTATGCAATCTTCTGCCTTTTTTTGCTTGTCTCAATATTGCTGACACTGCATTTAGTGATCTGTTGAAGTGGTAGGTAGTATGCAGTTTTCAGAAAGTTATGTTCTTGGTTGCCATCTGATGTCAGTGGTGTGGACCTGAAAAATACCTTTTCATGGAAGTCCCTTATTTGAATGGCCTTTGGGAACAGACCTTATGTGATTTTTTCACATCATACAAAATCATATAAAATATAATATGAAATTTATATTTGAAATGTATGTTATATAAATGATGTAGTTATGTTAACCGTGCCTTGAAATAAGTAAAGTTAAATTTACAACTGTTGAAAAGGTTCTGTCAAGAGACAGCGGTATGTGGATTGAAGATAATGTTTAGTAGATTAGTAATTCTGATTGTGATTTATCTTTGCGTGAAATACTAAGGTTTTTTTTTCTTCATCACAGACAACCTATCACAACAAGTTTGTGTCATTACTGATGTCAAGGAGGCTGTTGCACAAATAGGTTTTCTCCTTCATGAAACTCTGAAAAGCCAAGTAAGTACTGTGGCTGTAAACTATATGATTAATGTAATGTTTCTGGATGTCACAACTCATAAGAAATGGTCTAAATAATATGAATACAGAAACTGAGACATCCTGTGTCACTGTAGTGCTTATTAAAAGGGATTAATACCAGGTGTGGAAGTTACCAAGAAACAAGCATCTTCTGCCCAATTATGCTGTGGAGGGGGATCTTACAGATCCTCTTAAAATGTATATATTAGATTAGAGGAGAAATTGGATCCAGACAACAGAGAGGCCATTTTCTTTAGATTTTATGAATTTAGTAAGCCCAAATCATTACAAATATGTTAAAGAGGAAATACTTTTGTTACTTTGAAGTCTGAATTAAAGTCTGAACCAATTAAACAGTAAGTTGTATTCCTATGGAGCTGCAAATGCAAAGTCCAATTAGTCAGCCTTTTTGCAGAGAGATAGAGGTACATTTCAGTCTTAGTGAATGCTCATTGAAGCTGTTGCTGTAGGATATTGATGGAATTTTCTACTGGCATTTAACTATCTTTTCCTTTTTCATTATTCCTACTAATAGAATTATCACATATTTTCATTTTCCCAAAGGTGATTAACATTTGGTAATTGCTTAAATCTTGGCCGATCTTGGGGTGATTCTTAATTATATCATATGTGATGATATTGCATCTTTCTGTTACCCAAAGAAACAGATGGGGAATAGCTGTTCAAAAATATAGGTTTCCCAATTTGCATAATACTACTTCTGTAATGATTTTATTCATGTCTGTTGATCTTCTGCATTGTGTGCTTATATAATAGTAGGATGTTCTTCTGTACCAAATGGTATTGCTATTTTATATCTAAAAATGTAATTTGACATTGTACGTATAGTTTTTGTTTGGAAAAAAATTTATTTAGTATGGAAAAATCATGCTTTATATCTCTTAAATGTCTACATATAAAAGTGCAAAACATTAGCAGAGCTGAATAAGATCTTTTCTTGTCTGAGTAACTGTATAATGGAGAAGTCTGTTTCCATTTCACTGATACCAGATCCATTACTATTTTTCCTTTTTTCCTCTCCATTTAGATTATTCTACAATTACTAGGAAGACATCACTTACCCATATTAGAAAAAAAGTACTTTAGTGTTGACATATCTATATATTATGTTTGCTTATAACCACTTTATTCACACCATGAGAAACACTTCCAAGCCAGTAAGAAAAGTCAAAGAATGTGTGATGTTTCACCAACCAACACTGTGACTCCAGACTTAGCAACCTCAAATAAGACTGGCACCAAAACTAGCTAAAATTTACATGTTTCCAAATTTCCATTACAAAACTAGTTAATTGTTGGGTTGGTCAGGCACCTGAAGCTATGGTGCATTTGAATAAAACACACATAAAATGACCACAAGTAAGATAATGAGAGCATAAAATGAGGGATTCCTGCTGATATGGGACTGAATTTTTTTGATGGCTCTTTTAAATCAGTTTATTTAGTTGATGATTTATAACACTGTTGTTCTCTCTTTTGATCCATGTTTATATGATGTATAATGATTGTTAAATTTCTCTTCAGTGCTTTCAAAACATTACTGCAAAATGACACCTGCCAAAGAACTCCTGTCAAGATCCCTGTCTTCTACTGGTCCTTGAAACATCCTTAGTCATTCATTTTATGAGCCCTTAGATTGAAAATCTATAAAAACTAATATCTATGTACTGTGTCTTGTTTTTTAAACAGAAAAATCCCTAAGAATTAATTTTTAATCTTACCAATATACAGAACTTAAAAATTTGAAGCACCTTAGAAAGAACATATACACTAGGTTATGATTTCTCAAGGGAAGCACAGTAACCTTGTTCAGTGAGAGAGGTGACTGTACAACATGGTAATTATTTTAAGCAAGTTGAATGTACTACACTGAAAGCTGGACCTTTTGAAAAGGCTAATTGGAGGATAACTGATCTAAATAAGACACTAATTGGGAAACGTCCAGTAGAGTACATATTATCTGAAATTTAAGCTAACTGTGGCCAATATTTTAATGTTTTAGGCAGTCTTGACACTAGTTCTTAGTATCAGGCATATTTGCTTTTAAGATAATTGTTAACTTCTAGATGCAACCTTAAAGAATCTTTAAAGAAGAATTCAAAAGAAATTTTGTTACATTTGTTATTCAGCCCTTTCTTTTGAAGCAAGCAAACCTAAATGGGGGCTAAAGATGTTTTCTTCTGTGTCTGGAAATTATGTACTCCTGCTTATTCAGTGACAAGGTGCTCCTGTCACATGAAATGTAATTAGCTGCATGAAGGTGTGTGTTATTTTTGTGACTGGATAGTTATCCACAAGCAATATATCAAAATATTTGGTTGTTTTCAATTAGGAAACGAACTAGTGTTTCATTAGTAGAAATTCACTGATTTCTTAATCATTGTATTGTCTGGCTGCCAGATTAGTGTTAACTGTGATTTTAAATTCTGATATAATTTAACTAACTTTTAAAGATTCCTGTTGTCCTGGTATTATTTTTTGATTTTATGAAAGCAGATGTTAGGTAAAGTGGAGACTTCAGCACAGGGCATCCAATAAGTAGAAAAAAATGTTAAAGAAAACATATTTATTATTCCTGTCTTCCTGTTTGTAAAAATTTAACTATCTCTGATTCATTACAGTAACTGAATATCAATTGCTACAATGACCAGAAGTGATTAAGCAAATCCATATAGTTTTTTGTATTTAAACACTGGAGCATTATGTGTGAAACACTTTTAATTGAGGTGGTATTTAAGGTAATTTTTGCTCTCTAAAGTAGGTGATAACTTTGATTAATATTGTTTAATTTAAAAAATACTTTTCCATAAGATACTAACATATCAAATAGAATAAGAATTAATTTTAGTTAATTGATGATGTATTAAAACTTCTAGTTAGGCAATTGTGCTTAATTTTCCGAGAGAGAAGACAGATTCAATCTTTGCTGGATAATATGCCTGCAAAACAAAGGCTCAGTGTACTGCTGTATCAAATTCATAGAATCATGGAAGCATAGAATGGTTTGGGTTGGAGGGGACCTCAAAGATCGTCTAGTTCCAACCCCTCTGCTATGTCAGGGACACCTTCCACTAGACCAGGTTGCTCAAGGCTCCATCCAACCTGGCTCTTAACGCTTCCAGGGATGGAGCATCCACAACCTCCATGGGCAACCTGTTCCAGTGCCTCATCACCCTCACAGTAAAAAACTTCTTCCTTATATTTAATCTAAACCTCTCCTTCCTCAGCTTCCACCCATTATCCCTTGTCTTATCATTACAGTCCCTTGTAAAAAGTCCCTCCCCAGCCTTCTTGTAGGCACCTGTCAGGTACTGGAAGGCCACTATGAGGTCTCCCCAGAGCCTTCTCTTTTCCAGGCTGAACAAGCCCAACTCTCTCTGCCTGTCCTCATAGGAGAGATGTTCCAGCCCTCTGATCATCTTGGTAGCCCTCCTCTGGACTCGTTTTAACAGTTCTGTATCCTTATTGTGTTGTGGGCTCCAGAGCTGGACACAGGACTCCACATGGGTTCTCACGAGGGTAGAGGGACAGAATCACCTCCCTTGACCTACTGACCACACTTCTTTTGATGCAGCCCAAAATATGGTTGGCTTTTTGGGCTGCAAATGCACACTGTTGGTTCATTTTGATCTTATCCACCAACACACCCAAGTCCTTCTCCCCAGGACTGTTTTCATCAGTCCACTCATTACACAGCCTTTATCTGTGCTTGGGATTGCCCCGGCCGAAGTGCAGGACCTTACACTTGACATTGTTCAAGTTAAATCAAAATACTGATACACTATATTAATTTTAAATGTTCGGGAATACTTAAGCATCGTGTATTGTAATAACTCAAGTAAAAAAAAAAAAGTAGGCCTTCTCCCTTGAGTCATGTTCCATTTTACCTTCTGAAAAGACTGGCATGCAGTATGCTCCTGTTCATCTAAGTATGTATAAGATTGTAAAGCTACTGGGGATTTCTGATTTTACTTCTGCGGAAGCTCAAGCCAGGAGAGCACTGGAGTTTAAAATCACATTTTTAAAGTATTTTAAGGAATTCTTGATTTCTCTGATTTTTTTTGTGCGTGTGTGTGTGTTTTGTGTCTCTTTAAAATATTAAATGTCAACACTTTGGGGCTGTGTATCAGATTTTCAGCCCAAAATGTTTCTAAAATCTTTAGTGCATAAATATCAACTTTTGGGTTTCAAACCACCTTCTTTTGCAAACAAGTTAGGTCCCCAGGTGTTACAAAAATAAATATTTAGATACAGCTTTAGATAACAGTGCAAAGCCTTATTAAATGTTGTATTTGGTACTTCTGTTGGATTGTGGATTGAGTGACAATTCGAGGGAACACAGCAGTGTATTGTTTCTGTTGTTTGCAGCTATATGTAATATGGGTTCTGGACAGAAATAAAACTCATTTGAACAGTGAAACAGTGAAGTTTGGTAGTTTAATAGAAGCAAAATGAATGGGTTTTTTGCCTTATTTTCAGCATTTTTTTTTTAATTGGCTTTAAAGTGTTATCTTTTCTTAGGAAACAAATTCCCCTTCTATTACCTGGTTTGCCATTTCACTTAAGACAATACTGAAGCTGATAATGTAGTAGAATCTACTTTTAATTTTAATTAAGGTAAGATAATTTCATAGCTGGTGTTATAGTTAAAGGTTGCAAAATAAGTATATCTGTGATTAAGACAGTATTTTAAAGTATTCACAGAGGAAATTATTTTCAGGAGCAATTCTAAATGAGTCTTGTGATATGCCTGTGCACCTGGTCTTTCATACGTACTTATTCATTTATAGTATTCTTAGTTGCATGAAGACAAAATATATAACTGTATTTGAATATTATAGAAATTTTCTCGGAATTAGAGGTCTAAATTCATTGGATCATCTTAATACTATGAACAGTGTTTTCATCTCTGGGAACAATTGAACATCCATCCTAAGCCAGGCAGCAGCGTTAGTGTCAGATTCTTCTAGTGATGTTTCTGGAATGGCTCCCCCTAGCATATGCTTCAGCAAAAACTTGCAGAAAACTGCAGGATGTTGGACTCCATGCTTCACTGTTGAGTCACCTAAAAATTTGAGTAGTTTTTTATTCTTACAGTGGAAATAATAATTGCCAGTTTTGAATCACTTGAATGAACAAACTCTGCCATAATGGTGGAAGCTTTTGAAGATAGTTAAGGCTGAAGTCAAATTTGTGATGGATAATATTATTTTTTTTTCTAATCAGATTGAAGCTGTATCGATATCTCTAAGCAAAAGTGATAGCCATCTACAAAACATCTTTTCAGGACAGTGCTACAATTTTGTTTGCATAAATGTAAGTAGTAAGGATGCATGCTTTTAGTTTTGAACTTAAACTTATTGGTAACGTTAAATAATAATTATATATTTCAGTAATACGTTGTTTGCTTTTTCAGTCGTCTTGGTGTATCCATTCCAGTGTTTGGTGTTTCCGATGTGCACCAAACTAGATACTGATCTGTTCTTTCTCTCCTGGTACTGTACTTCCATCAGTTTATTGTTAAACCAGCCATGAATTCTTGAACAAGAGGGATGCAACAGAAAGTAGTTTAAACTTTCCTTTTGCTGATATTGTACTGAAGTGACTTGTCTCAAGATGAGTATGTCATATGTATAGTCACCTACCTGTGTATTGCTCCCATGGTCTAAATTATGTGTTTCCCATTTCGGACACATGCATGCCAGGCAGTCTGTATTTGGGTTCCTGTATGGGAACAGGAGGGTTTTAGATGAACTGTATCTGAGACAGACAAGACCCTTATGCTCGTTATATTCCTTAAAAGTAATATTAATTTTTTTTTTCAAACAGATATAACTTTAGCAGACAAAAGTGTTACAAATATATTAGAACCAAACAACCAACCAAATAAAACTCCCCAAACCAAAAAAGTTATGTACTTTTTTTTGGGTAAAAACCAGATCTTTGAATTCAATTTTTTATGTAATCACTGTTTGATGTTTTCAGTAACTCTAAACATATATTTTCATACAGGATAAAAAGTATGCCATTCAAGAAGCCCAGCAGCTAGTCGATATGTTGGAAAAATCAAATCTTCCTCTCTTATATCCAGTTGTCCTTATTTTGGTAGGTAACTCCTGTAAGTTACTGTAGAAAGCATCTAATGAAATGTTAGACTAGGTTTAAACTGCCACTAGCTCTGAATAAAATTATAAATTTAAAATGTAAATTGGACTGTAAAGAGCATTTGCAGTTCAGCAAATATACTATATGCTGTCAGGAAATAAACCAACACAAGCAAATCACAATTTATTGTATACTTGTGAAAGACTCATCGTGGCTAGTCATATTGAACCGTTAACTCCTGCTTTGCTGTTGTGCTCCATGTCTGCTGAGAATGCTGTAAATTATGTACTCTGCTTGAATGCTCAGTTGAAACAGAATTAAGTGGCTTTATTTTTTCTTCTGTGCTGTGTGGCTTATTCAAAGTTTTAAAATTAATAATGCTTTTCTCATCCAAGCATTAAAAATTCATTTTGAATTACTTTGCAATATAACTTTAATACATACTTTATGTACTGAAATGTTGTAAGACCGAAAAATCTATTCTGGTATGTGGCAAAAGTTTTAGGGTGTATTTTTGGCTGAAATTCTCATTATTTGAATATTGCTGGCAGAATAATTTAACAGTTCATGTAGATGAAAAGCTGAAGGTGTACATGACTTTTATTTTACTCAGACTGTTAAAAAGGAAAAGAATATGAGTAGTTTGAAAGTCTCTGTGCAGTGTAACCACATCCAATTAAATCCATCCTGTATTCTGTCTTAATAGGTAGGGATGAGAAGTATTGGGTGGAATGAGTGTCATTAATGCCATATGTCACAAGGAGTGTGCCTCTGGACTGCAGTTGTTATACTCTCCAGCAATAGCACAAGATAATGTGTTGTGATTTTAAAATATAATTCCATATATGAAGCCCCTGAAAAAAAGAATAAATATTTATTTTACATGGTGTCTGAATAATCTCTGAAGTGCATAGTCTAGTGATCTGGAGGTAAAACTGAGCATTTAATTCTCAATTTTATGCTTAGTCTGAAAGGTAAGTTATGAAATTTCATTACTGACCTAACAAATAAATGAGATCATGAAGATCAATTACTCTTACAAATGAAAAAAGTTAAAGTCTTACCCGTTATATGCTGTTCTCTTGGAGTGAGCTGCTGTGATTCTGTGAACATCAATATTTAGCACTTTATTTCTAGACTGTCTTTTTTTTCTTGACCTTATTTCTGAGGAAGTTCAGAGTAGAGCTTTAATTTTACTGAATTTTCAAAGATAAATTGTTTCCACCTTTGATAATCAGACCAATGACATGTCTCCAATTCTGTTGCCCATTTACAAGGCTACTGGATGTGTAGAATGCTCTTTTCTGGACTGAGAATATTTTCATTAGTCTTTTATAAAGAATATAAAAACCCCTTTCTGTCTGTGTTAAATTTTGGGGGTGTGCAGATAAAGTTGGAATTGTTAATCAACTAGGTAATACTACGGTGTTGAAAGCATGCTTATTTTGTACCTGATTCATAGCTAATCTCTACTTTGGACTTTGAATTAAGTGCCTTTTTAGTGTGACATATGGAATGTGAGAGCTTTGTTTTAATAATTGTAGCTATAAATATCTTGGACTTAATATTTCCTGAGATACAGGTATGAATGTAAATAATGCTTACAGAAGATCATGGTGAAGCTCAGGTTTTGCCCCTAAGATCCTAGATCTTGAAGTGATCGTGGAATCCAGCACCATTTTTAATGAGAGTGTATTTGTTTGAGCAGCCTGCAGCATGCACAAATTATTTAGGTGGACAGCTTTTAAAATAGCTTCAAGAGAAAATAACACAGTTAATCTCTTTATTGTACTCCAGATCCATCAGTTTTTCTTGACAACTCCTTGCAATTTCCCAAAACTAGACAATGAAAGAAGTCTCATAACTAGGTGGAAACAGTTGCTAACATTTAAAACACAGATACAGATACACATACATTTGTTAAAAGTGTCTTTAAAAAATTAAGTACACTAATTATAAAAAGGCATTTTATGCTACAGTCTCAAATTTTATGGAGTTACCACAGTATTTTTTAGAAATACAAGGAGAAAGCAGGACTGGAAAGTATGTTTTAAATGACTAAAGAATTAACTAAACAAATCATTGTCTCATATTAATCACTGGGAACTATTTAAATCCTTTAAACTTCTGATCCCTAAAACTCATTACAGATGGTATGACTGGGGGATAGAAACTTCCTTCAGCAGTCTTTAATTAAATTCAGTGTTGAGTGTCCTCTTCACTAAGGCTTCTGAGTGGGATTCTCCTCATCTTTATTCTTTGCTGTATGCTTTGTCTAACATAAAACCTGAACACATTGTTAGTGAAAAGTCCTGTAAGACACTTTCTTTTGATGTAAAAGGGCACATTATTAATATGTCTCAGGCAAATGTGACTCAGAATTTTAAGCACTAAGACGACATTTAAATACATAGGTTTTAGGTACTAGATGTACAGGAAACATTATTCTTTCTTACTCTTAAAAGTAAAACTGTTCCTGGTAATGAAGAACTGAAAGGATAAATGAGGAGAGCAGCTAACTGCTTCCATTCTAACCTCATAATCAGGAAAAGCCTAAGGTAGATTTTTGTGTAATTGGAAAGTTCTTGTCTATTCTTTGATTTCAGGACACGTGTAACTTTTTTGTAGCAATCTGATAATTAAGAGAATCAGTTCTATTTTTCCTTCCAATATACAGCTTCTTTGGTTGTAATAATGACAGGTGCTATTATTGAGCCAGATTGTTTCACCAGCCTGGGAAGAATTATCCTAGTAAAAGGATGAGCTTGCGCTGGACATGATGACTTCTGTCCATATTCCTGCCAATAAATTGCCACAGATTTCAAAGTCTATCCTTTATCCTGGTGCCTGACTGTAGTTTTTGTAGCATCTGTAAGCTGAAACAGTAATTGAACTATTGTATTTGGACATGGCAGAAAAGTTGCAGGAGAATTAGGAAGCACAGTTAAACTTCATGCAGTTACTTGTCTGCATCAAACCAGTATCCTTTCCAATTCTGCTATAACCAGAAGGATCATGTTCTTAAACTGACATTATTTTTCTTGAGTAATACCTGTTCACGTTTGTAGATGTTATGAATGGATATGATTTTTATTTTGTTGTTATTACTTAGGTTTAGAAAGAAAACTAGTACTTCAGCTCTGTAGTTGCTATTGTTTGCCTTTCAGTACAAAAGTTTGAGGAAAAATCTCTTTTTAAAGCTGTGGAACAGGTTAGTGGTAAATAGGCGTTAGGTTGTGTTCCCTCAAAATAGTAGGTTTTAAAATTTCTGTAAATGAGTGGTACTTTAGCCTTGTTTGGGATAAAAAATAGCAAAATAAAGAGTGTTTGAAAATTAATCTCTGCCAGTGTAGTACAAGACAGCAACTTTGTTCCTGGTGAATATGCACTTAGCCAGTAAATAGCTTTTAAAGAAATGTTGCTAGGGAATATGAGTAAAAACCTGTTATCTGTCAGGATAAATTGAACATAAGGTACAAAGGAAAATTGAAATATTTTTTCCAAGCACAGATCTCTGGGGCTATGCCTATACTACTCTCTGTAGTACTTAGATAAGTTTTACCTCAATGGAATCATTCAGCCTGAAAAATATTTTCTCTTTCTTTTAAGGGGAAAGTTATTACTGCTATTAATAGATGCTGAAAGTTTATATGTACAAATCATCATCCTAAATTTTGATTTCTACAGTTAATAGAAACTTTGTAAAGTAAACTGATAGAATTGGAACACAAAAGCCTTGGGAAAGGGTTGAGCTGCTTGATACCTCCCTGGAGATACCAGTTCAGGTCCTGTAAGACCCACCATGTTTGTGCAGAATCCCTGCTGGATATGAGAGTTGCCTTTCCCTGCCCAAGACTTCAGGATAGTCATATCACCACCTTCTTTTGAAGTAATTTCTGCTTTTTAAAATTGAAGTGTTGTCTTGAAATTAATCCAATTTAGGCAACTAATATGCTATACTGAAAAGGTAGTAAATACAAAATGAATCTTTAAGTAATGCAGTTCCATTTGGAAAACCTCTTAAGATGCTTTAAGAAGAAACCTGTATTTCTTTAATAACCTGATAGTAAAAAGAAAAATCTGTCAAAATTAAATTAGAGTTTAGAAAAGTATGTTTCTTATTTTCTGACTTAATTAAATATTTTTAATATGCAATTAGAGTATTCTGATGTGTTCTGGCGTATTGGTTTCAGTATGCTTTGAGAAGAAAAAAATTTAATGTCACTGAATATATAAGTAATGCAATTCAATAGTAATAGAAGCTAACTAAGAGAAACCTTTGTTAGCCTGTATTTTTGTGTGCTTAACACATAAAAATGAGATACTAAAAACTGGCAGTCTAAAATAACACACTATGGAAAAAGTGGAATTTTTGTTTTTAATTTCTTTCTTATTTGTACCTTTGCAGATGCACTTGGATATTTCAGAAAATATTTCTTTTAGCATTGGGATAGAAGAACTAACTAGGATCAAGAAATTTGCAGGGGAAATGAAAAAGAAAAATATTTTGGTTTATGGTCTCCTTATCCAATATAAGGTATGTAATTATTTTTCTATGTGCAGATTATCTTCTTCTGTGATTTATATGATTAATGATAGAATCTTAATTTTTAAAAAATCAAAGAGAAACAAATAGGACATGATAAAAGATTGGTTTTTTGTAAGATTCTTGCCTGTTCTTGTTGAAAATTCAAGAGCCTGTAGTTACAGGCAAACCAGCATTTTGATTAGAGGGGAGTAAATGATAAAGACTTTTGGAAGCACTCAAAACTGTCAGGGCCCTGTTTCTTTTTGCTTTTCTGCTTTGAAACTTGCTTTTTGCAGCATTAAAAAAATGGTAGAAGTACATTTGATCAGTGCTTTTGCAGAATTTTGCATTCTTTATGAAAACTGGTATTCAGGTGATGGAAAGGTCATGGCATAGAGATGTTGAAACAAACAGTGTCCATGTCTGCAGTAGCAGCAAATTGCCTCAGCTGGAGGCAGAAATGATTAGCACTCCAGCATCCTTTGTACTGACTAAAGTTATTTAAAATAAACCATTTTTCCTGGGAAACATTCTACCAACAAAAAAAGTGGGCTGCCTTGTCTCCAGTGCAGATACAGTCTTTGCAGCTTCTTAACTTAGTCAGTGGTGAAGGAAGAAATAAGATACTCAATGGAACTTTAAAAAAAAAAGAAAAATAAATGTAGTCTCAACTGATTTCTTTAAAGTCGAGTTAGGTGTTCATGTTTATATATAATTGATTAAGCATGGCTATAGTTACCTATCTTTTTCTGCTATACCAAAGACTCAATTTTTCCTCCAAATTCTATGGCTTTTATTAAGAACTATGAGTATCAATGCCTATCAGTTTATGCTTTTACAGACTTCTGATGTCAACAGAATATGAATAATACTATTACATGACCTTAGCTTGTCTCTTGTTTGTACAACATACAAGGACATACAACTATTTTCAGTCTTTCTGGTACTGTCAAACCTCAGGGTGAGTTCTGACTTCCTTTGGTAAAAATAATTTGAATAACTGTTGAAATGTAGCTCTGAGAGGAACCTTATCATGGTAAAAAGTAACACTGTGAAGATTGCTTGAGTGTAAATAAATTTTTTTTCCTTTTAAAGTTCATTTGGTGCATATATAATTTTATATACAAGTGAATAAAATACAGATAGTGGATAACAACAGTTAGTAAAGCTGACTGGAAAAAAAGAAAAACTTTTATAATCTTCAGTGGATTTTTATGACCATGGTACCAAAACATTTTATCAATAACAGGCATGTATAATGGCAATATGAGATCTGAATGGAAATTCTTGACCATAGGTGGACAGAGAATTGCAGCAGAATGTTGCCTCAATTTTTTGAAAATAAAAAGCTAGAATGATTATGTAAGATCACTGCAGATGGAGTCATCACTTATTAATGTGGAAAAAAGTATTATATAGAGTAAAACACTTTGCAAAGTAAACAAACTACTTCTATCTATCTTGGTTTAAAAAGGCTTTAAAACACGTCCTGCTCACAAAGATGGGGATTAGTCCTGACCTCCTGTCAGTGTTTTGATAGGTAACTAAAAATTAGGTTTTATAGATCATATGTGTGTATATATATATATATACGATATATGTATCAAGTTTTCTTTTGGCTGCAGACCTACAAAGAACATAATTGTTTCTAGGTGAAGACATATGGAAACACTTGACATATGAATCCAGAAATGACATAACCCAAACCTCATTGCTCATCTGGGTACAAATGAGAATAAAAGCAGTTTAAGTGAAAAGACATCTTCAAAATACTTTTTGTTTTTGTATTTTTTAAATTCCAAAGCATGATTTGAGAGTCACCAGGGTATTTTACTTTTAGTACAATCCATTAGCTAATAGGTGAATCCACAGGTGAATTCCATGGAAAGGTGAATTTCATACTGGCATGACAGGAAGTCCAGAGGTACTGGAGGCACAAAAAGCACCTGCTATTGTAATGCAGGATATTCAGCTTGTTGTCAAATAGCTTCCGTCAGTATCTGCTTTCTAGAAGTCCCTAAAAGTTGTAGTTTATTTTGGGAAAACAGTGATGACAGATTACTTCATGGAGCTTCCCTCTAGCTGACAGGTTTATAACTTCAGTACCAGATGTGAACGGTTGATATACACACATTTACTAATTCAAAACCAGGGATAAAATGTAGGGATGAGGAATTTATTGAGATACATGACCCTGGTAATACTGAGGTGAAATTATTTTATGTTTATAAGGGTGATATGATCAAGTGGGCGTGATGATATGTTGAGATGAAAGAATATGGGGGCAGTCTTTAAGATTCTGTATTAGAAAAGTAAATTTGTTGAAATAAATATTTTTTGAGATTTATAATTGTTTTTTATGTTTTGGAAATTGAAGTGAAATTCTTTTGGAACCTAGGAGTACGTTTTTGACAGTGTGGAGGAGATGCGAAGCCCTAAGATAAAAATATGTTTTAATTTCTTAAATGCGGTGTTCATTTGGTATTTAGAAAAAGATATCAAGTACTTCTATGAATATTTGATACTTCAAGAAGCTAATCAGGAAAATTAAAGGAAAAGGCTTTAATGTGCTGTATAAATGACCTGCTTTGTACGTTCCATTTGCTCAAAATGAGTGCATGTTCATGGCTTGTACACAAATAGTTACTTCTCTCATAAACATTATGCATGGAATACCAAATTACTGATATTGATACAAAGATTGGATCTAGATGATGTCAAGACATTGCATCCATGCAGGGCTGTAAATACATTAATCTTAAAAACATTGGTTTATGTCATTCACACTACAGAATTTGGGAGGGAACTTCAGCTCCAAGTGGTACTTATCTGTTGATCTGTGTTCTGAGCTTGGGCCTTGATCTCACAAACACATGCATTATTATCTTTAAACATATTCTAGATAGTAAATGGTTTTATACTTAAATATGACAGTGATGTTTTAAAAAACACAACTATTTTCTGTTTACTGCTAGCCTCCCTATTAAAATAATAATGTCTTATGACTGAATTGCAAAAAGTAGTCAAGACACATAAAAAGAAAATACCAGCAGCATTTCCTAATATGGGAGCACAAATTTGGAAGCTTTTAAAGGTTGCAGTAATAAAATCTCGGTCTAGAAGTTTCAGTAATAACTCTGTTACTTTTCACACAGAGAATAAAGAGGAACAATTATAATCCAAAATAAAGCATGTATGGATGGACATAGGAAGACACAGAAAGCTTTAAAATATGAGAGTAAAGCTAATATATCTTGGTTATGTGACTATATTAATTTTAAATAATCCTACTTCAGACACTGAGAGAATGTTGGGTCAGAAGATTAAATACATGCTAAGGCTTTCCTAGGGTAATGTGGCCCCAAATACTTTTGTCTCTGAAACTGCTATTTGGTAAGATAAAGGAACTGTTCACTGACAGCCAGAATAATCACTGTCCATCACTAAAAGGAGACAAATGAAGCAACAGAATAATTGTTATGAACATGCTTGAAACTGAATCCAGCGCACACAGCATGGGTAACAAACAGGAGGAGCTTGAAGCCATGATGCAACAGCAAAATCATGATGTAGTGGCTATTACAGAAACATGGTGGGATGCCTCCCATGACTGGAGTGCACCAGTTGATGGCTACAAGCTCTTTAGGAGGGATAGACAAGGAAGGAGAGGCAGTGGGGTGGCGCTGTGTGTTAGGGACTGTTATGATTGCTTTGAGCACAAGAATAGTGAAGACAGGGTGGAGTGTCTCTACATTAGAATTGGGGAAGGCCAACAGGGCAGATGTTGTAGTAGGAGTCTACTATAGGCCACCCACCCAGGACAGAGAGGTGGATGAAATATTCTATAGGTACTTAGGAGAAATCTTGTGATTGCTTCCTTTGTTCTTGTGGGAGACTTTAACTTCTCAGACATCTGCTGGAAATACAGAACAGCAGAGCGGGACCAGTCCTGGAGATTCCTGGAATGTGTGGGAGAGAACTTCCTGACACAGCTGGTGAGTGGACTGACCAGAGAAGGTGCCCTGCTGGATCTCCTCTTTGTGAACAGAGAAGGACTGGTGGATGAGGTGGTGGTTGGAGGCCGACTAGAGCACAGCAATCATGAAATAATGGAGTTCTCTATTCTTAGAGGGGCCAGAAGACGGGGCAGCAGAACTTCCATAGAGCTCACTTTGTATTGTTTAGGCACCTGCTTGATAGAATCCCTTGGGAGACGATCCTGAAGGGTATAGGGGTCCAGAAAGGCTGGACACTCTTTAAGAAAGTCTTAATGGCACAGGAGCAGGCAGTCCCCAGGTGCTGTAAGAGAAGCCAGCAGCAGAGAAGGCCACTCTGGCTAAACAGGGAGCTTTGGCTGCAACTCTGGGAGAAAAGGAGAGTTTACAGCCTTTGGAAGAAGAGGCTAGCCACTCACAGTGATTACAAAGAGGCTGTGAGACTATGCAGGGCAGAAATCAGGAGGACTAAAGCCCAGTTAGAAATTAATCTGGCTTCAGCAATCAATGATAACAAGAAATGTTTCTGTAAGTATGTCAACAGCAAAAGAAAGACCAGAGAGAACCTCCATCCCCTGCTAGCTGCGGGAGGAAACATGGTAACAAGAGATGAGGAAGAAGCTGAGGTGCTTAATGTCTTCTTTGCCTCAGTCTTTAATAGCAGGACTAGTTGTACTGAGGGAATCCAGCCTCCTCAACCAGAAGACAGAGACTGGGAGAACGACCCCCCTCCATTCCAGGAGGAGAAAGTCAGTGACCTGCTGCATCACACAGACACACACAAGTCTGTGGGGCCGGATGGGATACACCCGAGGGTGCTGAAGGAGCTGGCTGGGGTGCTCGCCAAGCCACTTTCCATCATTTACCAGCAGTCCTGGCTGACCAGGGAGGTCCTAACTGATTGGAAATTGGCCAATGTGACACCCATATATAAGAAGGGTCAGAAGGATGATCCGGGAAATTACAGGCCTGTTAGCTTGACTTCAGTGCCCAGGAAGCTGATGAAGCAGCTCA